TGGGCGTGTTCCACACGCTCCCTAACAGCATCTTAACTTCTGGACCTGGTTTTATAGCCATTTTCTAGGGGGTTATCATTAATAAACCATGAGAGCGGACCTGTGGATAGCATTTGAGAAGGGTGCTGAGTCAGGTTGCCCTGTGTCTTCCCAAATCTTGAAAAGGAGTCTCTGTCAGTGACTGCTGGGGCCTTCGTGTTGCTGTTTCACATCCTGAGTTCTTTCCAATGTGCCATTTCGTTTTCCCTTTACCATTTATTTAACAAACATACAGAATATGTTAATATCATCTTTAAAAATGTACAGGCACCAGAGAAACCAATATGTGATGTAAATTGCTCAGCAGATTATTTTAATAATCAGTTTTGAATCACTCTTTACAACTCATCTCTTTTCCTCATGCCAGTTGCAATTTTGGTAAGTTACAGTAAAAGTGTTTGGGTACATTTTGTTTTGTTTTGTTTTGTGTTCCTCATTGAGTTGGCATGAAAAATTACAGCATTTTAGATCATTCTGAATGAAATAATATCGCATTAAACTCAAATGTGAGGAGAAAGAACAGTATAAAACACAAAGATATTTTTCATTAAATAGAAATAATTTGTAAATATATCTCTAGCTCCCATTCATTTCACATAATAAATTACCACAGATATAGCCTAAATGCTGACACAGATGTTTAAAAGTAATATTCAGCCACTTTCTGAAAATGGCAGAGAACCAGATCCTGTTGACGTTAAATGAAATACTTTAAATGGTAGCCTGAAGAGCTTATATACTGATACATTTAGACAGTTCTGGGAAACAATTCTTTAGACGTATACCAAAGATTTTATCATTATTATTTTGGAAACCTCAAATTTTCCTTGCAGGCTGACTTTAGCTTGATTCAAAGATAAAAGATTATTGCATTAAAAACTAATCTGAACTTCTCCACTTCCTGTTTATTACTTTATACCTTAGATGCCTCATGGACAAAGCTACTTTTTATATAGGAGATCTGTAATCAGATCTCCCCTGATTCTGATTTCCATTTAAAGCCACGGTGAGGGTCCCTAACTTGGACAGAAGTAGCATCCCTGAGTCAGGAGGGGATGTTTAATACATGTACTTGCTCTAGGGACAACAGACTACAGCAGGGCCTCCATTTCTCAAAAGACATTTTTTCTGAGAACATTCTAAAGTCTTTTCTTGTCCTCACCTCAAGAAGAAGGCTACTTTGCAGGATTTTCTCAGGATTTTCTGCACAATTTCCTGGCACTGTACCCTCCACTTCAGAATGACATAGATCCCACAGGCAATGTAGAAGATACAAAATGGTGGCCAGTCTGCCAACGCAGTCACCACATGGAGTAGTAACACACACAAATACTCCTGGGGAAAAGGAGCTGTAACTCCTGCCATTGCTGGTAGAGGGCCACACCCTTGAAAAACTGTGGAAGAACATACTCTTCCCATGGGAAGAATGTGTAGCGAAATTGTCCATCATCACTACCTCAGTTTCGCTGCCCACCAACAGCGTCAAGAATTTTGAGAGGCTGCTTGCGCACAGCTCTTTAACAGACAGTGTCAGTTTTCCCCCATGCTGCTCCAGTGCTCAGGACGAATTCAGAGGGAGAAAGCCTCCTGGAGGAAGGGCTAAACATGCCATTCTACAGCACTATTTCCCAGCACTGTGTGTTCCCTTCCAAAACACTTTTAAAAGAAAGGGAGAAGGTCAGGCGATCAGATCACTGATCTCTTGTGTACCTTCTGGCCCTGTGTTTACTACCAGTCTTCCCCCAGATCTGTTAAATACAAGCATCCTGATCCTGTGGGTGCTTTAGGGGGGAAAAGTCAGGCCTCATTCAAGCACATGTATTGATGTCCACCTGCCAATCTTTGAAAACTGAAACAGGTTTGGAAGGCAGCATTTTTGCACTGTAATGGAGTGAAAGAAAAGAATATTTAACCCACTCTGAGTGTTTCCAAGGTCAATCATGCAACTGGCACCACACGGGAGAGTGGAGCAGTGTGACAGTAAGGAAGCTGTGGTGGAAAAAAAGACGAATTCTTTCAGTCTTCCTGCTTGTCTGGACAAAACCACTGTGTCCATAAACTGCTAGCTATCAGAGTTAAACATTTACTTCCACTGTTTGAGTTGCTCCTTAAATGTGCAGGCTTTCCCAGACTACATGTCCCATCAGTTGTACTATGGGGTACATTCCCATGAATCTAGAATGGTTTGCAGAACATAAGTAAAACACTAACCTAGCCCTGCCATTCTAGATGCTGAAAGAATGGGGGAAGTATCAGAATTGGCAAAGGGTTATGAGGAACAAAACTAACATGAAAAATGGAAAAACTGTTTACCTGAACAAACCCCCAAATCTGAGATGTGACAGAGTAAGAGATTTGTTCAGGATTTGTTAATACAAGCAAGTTTCTGCAAAGTTCTGATGTACTGGGCAGATAACAAACTGTTCAGTTGCCCTCAGGGATCTGGTTGAATCTTACTGCTGCACAGATCCTCTGTTGGTTGTTGTCAGACCTCAAATGCTTTCCTCCAAAGCTGTGTAAATTCCTAGTCCTTGTGTCTTCCTCTCACAGAGCCCTTTCTGCCCACTGAATGATTTGTCAGCTCCTATTACACTTATGACTTAACACTACACAGAATCAAGTTGTCACTTGTCTTCTAAATGCAAACTGAAATCCTGCGGATCATATAGGCATTCCCTTAATTTTGCTTGAACTTCCCACATGTGTTCTGGATCTTCAAAATCTGTACAAAAATCTAAATTGACTTGCTGTCAAAAATGGCTTCACCTCAACATCTCCTAAGGGAACTACTAATTCCTTCTCCATTTGCAAAATTAGAAAGAATGCACTGGCACTTGGAGGCAAAAATGTCTGACCTGGGCCACTAACTCTCTCTCCAGCCAAGGACAGCAAAAAAGTTTCACTAGTTGTTAGAGTAGTTAAGGGTTAGGGATAGGTTAGACCCCAAGTAAGACTACTAGCCCCTTCACTATTCCATAAACTGCAATGTGTTATTGAACTGCCTGAATTTTCCATGGTTGTCTTTGTTGCCTTCTGCATGCAATGTCCTAATTGGAATGGCTCATGGAGGACATGTACTAGACCTGATTGTGAAAACTGCATCCTCAGCTACTGGGCAAACATAAATGCAAATTGGTATAACACAGGTGTGTGACCCAGGTTCAGCTTATACACCAGTTGTGGTATGTCAACATGAAAACAGCTGTGTGATTCACGCTGGGGCTCTTAAGTGCTCAATCCATTGTTTGATCCCAATTTTGACTTTGTGCATTGTGGAAGGGCACCAACATTTCCCTGGCAGAACCACTGTTGTATTATCAAACATCAAACAGAAGCAGATGAACATAGCTATTGTTGCTAGCTTATTTTCACTCTCGGGCATATCTTATTTTATTGTGAATGTAAACCATATTTTGCTATTTCAATTTGCTGTTCCGTTTCCATGGTGATTATGCCAAGGAATGAAAGGCAAAAAGATATCTTTGATATAGTAAAAATAGAAAATATGTGGTAGGATTTTGGAGTGGAGGTCGAGAACTGGCAATTTCCAGATGCCAAACTAATGTGCTTGTGTGATTTGCATGCACACTTCTTGGTCATGTTTGCCCAACGGAAAACCAAAACAGCACTATATATATGCAGGGAACATCACCTGTGTTTGCTCCAGATTGTGGCTACTTCGAATTTAAAGTACATAACTTCCAGAGAAGGCCCTCTATGGGATGTATGGCTGACTTAGCTGAGGGCAACTTCTCATCCAATGACATTGATTGGCAATAGATTCAGGAAAGACAGGAGAAGGTACTTCTTGGCACATCCAAATGATGGTACAGATTTCATTACAAAAAGATGTGACAATGTAAACACTTTAAAATGATTAGATAAATTAATGGAAGGTGGGGCTGTCAATAGCCCCTAACCAGGATAGGTTAAATGGAACTTTTTTTATAAGAGGCAATACTTTTCTAACAGCCTGATGCCCAGGTCAAGCAAGAGAGAACTGTAACTTTTTCTTTCTGAACTTACCAGAGGCATAAGAGACCATGGACTTTTGGTCTCTTCTTATGTTCTTGACTAAGAACCTTAATACCAAGCTGTATGGCCATAAAACATGCTGCAAAAGGATAGTTTAAGCAACTAAACAGAGACAGGAGCCTTGTGTACATTGTGGATCATGGGTAAGGCAACATTTGTGCCCACACAGCATGAGACTGCAAGATTAATTTATTTGTGCATTATTAGCAAATTTAATTTCTTTAGCAGAACCCTGCTCTCCTAGCCTTTTCAATTCATTGCCAAAAATATAATGTCATGGCCACACGTAATAGAGAGAAAATAGCTTGAAAGCCAAAAAGCAAAACCAGAACCAGGTAACCAGGGAGCTGCTACTCACTAGCCACATAAACCAGTGGCAAGCTGCCAGTTGTCTAATATAAACAAACTGTTCTCTCTCCAGTCGCTTCTTTCCATTTCCGAACCTTTTCAAGTGTGCCAATTAAAACACAGACTCAGTGTTTGCCAGTGTGTTAACATATTTTTCTTAATTTTTATATACATATCTTCTAAACTGTCTATAAAGCCATTTACTAAATAAAATATTATAGGAGCCATCCAATCAAGCAACCATCTTTTAAAATCTGTCAGCCGACCCCTGCCTACAAGTTTAAGAGCTCATAAAAGAAAAGGCCAGATTTGCATCACTCGTAATTCATCAAGCCGGATGCAGCTTGGCAACCATGCAAGGCTGCTCACCAGGGCCACAGTGATAGGGGGCTGTCAAGCACCTGATAGGCCACAAAAGAGGATTTTCATTATGGCCGCTCTGGGCTACCATGCATGGCCATGTTTAGCTAAATTGCTGCTAAGCAAGTATGGACGATTTGGAGCCATTTCACCTGTTAGCAATTTTTCATGGCATTGACTGGCAGCCATAAGTGTGTAACCTTTTACTTGATCTTTAGACCTGCGCAGAATGAAGGTGAATGGACACCACAACCTGCAACATATGAAAAGTTCGGATGCTACAGAAATCAATTTCCTGCCTGGTATGGCCAAGGCGATATTGCCAGCATTAAAAGCAGCAGCAATTTGCCTTTTCAAAGATCAAGCAGAGATTGTGAACCCGCAGCAGATGGTAGATCTTCATCTCCACCCCAGGTATATCCAGCGCATTGCATCGCCTGCTTTCCTGAAAGGAATAAGCCTGATATGTTAGTGAATAATGTCTATGCTGTGGAAGAAAATGAGATGGTGAGTATCTATATGTTTTGCTTTATGGGAAAAGTCAAAACTTACTCTTCTGGCTAATATCGCACTCATTTCTTGATGTGAAATATTGGCTTATTTTTATGTATGTATTTATTTAAAGCTTTTATAGACCATCCCATTATTAGCCTCTCGGGACAGTTTACAGCAATCCAATGGTTGCACAAGTGGAAGGCTTATTGTGCAATGGGATTTTCCTGTCCTCCTCCCCACTGCAAACTGTGGCTAGATTCAAATGACATGGCAAGCCATGGTGGGTTTGTGACTATTCTTGGTCTGTCCTGCTGTCCAGGCCTAGCTATGATATTTCACCATGCTAAGTTTGGTCTTTAGAGACCATGATAAGAAACAATGGTGTGTTCTCTGCTTTCTCTGTACCACCATGGCTTGTTGTGTTGTCCAAACCCAGGCCTGTGGTTTCCACAATCTGTTTTTGTTTCTTATTTATATTGTTTCTTATTCATTTCCTATTCATTTAAAGAGTGTATTTTACTGCACTCTTCAGCCAAAAATAGCTCCCAGAGCAGCTTGCACACAATGGCAATAAGATATTCTCTGCCATTAGGCTTACAACAAGGAAGACATGGCAGAAAAGGAAAAAAATTCAGGAGAAAAGAGGAAAATACAACCTCAGGAACCAGCTCCCTTCCTTTGGTATTCTCAAGAAGGTGGCTCCATTCTCATTGTGATAATAGGAATATTTCTTTATTTTTCAATCAGTTAAGAGTCACATAGTTCCTCAGTCAATAAATCTGTAATCAACCCAATATGGAGATTCTTGTCAGTACCTTAGTAATTCATTCCATTTATAAAGCTGTTTAATGGCCCAGCCCAGCATGGCTACCTGTCACCCTCTGAGCTCAGAAGATTATGAGTGTCAAGTCCAGGTGACTCTGCATCCCCCCTACCCCACAGAAGTCCTAGACAGCCAATTTTGGCTGTTGAAACCTTTTGTACCTGCTTCCAAGGAGGACAGTCTGAGGCTGCACTGGCTACATCCCATCCCAATAGACCATCACTTCTCCAAACCTCAGTCCCCAGAAAGTTACCCCCAAACTGGGTCCAGGGTAGTATTTGCAACCTTAGACCTGCAGCCAGCATGGAAAGAACCCTGAGGGCAAAGGGAGGGGACTCTGAATTCAAAGTTTTGAACTCCATTTCTGGAGTGCTTTCCAAGGTCATAGCTGGGACTTTAACTTCCTGGACAGTGTCTAGCACCCTAACTGCATTAAAAGCTTCCACTGATATATCCCATGACTTCCCATGATAGTGTTGGCTGTGTTATTTAGTGGTTGAGAAGTCTACAAACATATTTACTTGGCTTGATCTCTCAACTTGTGTTGAGCTTCAGTAATAATAAAATATTGATATGCTTGCATTTTTACACTAAGGAATGTATGTCATGGCAAGCAGTGTTCCTACAGGTTTGCTTCTTCAGTATCCCAATCTAGACCTGGACTCACTCCATGATATGTAAGATCACTGGGAGCTTAGAATACTACAGAACAGAATACATATATGAGCAAAAGAGGAAATGGTTCCTACAATGGAATATCACCGGTGTGGTAACTGCAAAGAAGAGCTGGCTAATTATACCCATCCTAATTGTGCCAATGCTTTGTGTCATTTAGTCTTCCCCAGAGACTCTGTTTCTTGCGAATGCAACAGAAAAGTTCCTGCAAGAGGAAGAGAAACGAGCAAGAGACTTTGAATGGGTTTTGAACTCTCACATTGAAGAATTGCAACGGCAATCAGAGAACACCCTGAAGAAATATGCCAATTTCAAGCACAGCCGGCACAGATGAGCCTGAAAAAGAAAGTTAAAATGTAATGACAATTCCGGCATCAATCATCAGCAAACAAAAAATTGTCATTATACAAAAAAGTGTTTGTAATGTGAGGTTTTGTATATAGTTTGGCTGTGGCTTTCCTTTCAACCTGAATTTGGAATATTGTGTATTGCAGAGGTCTAAAAATTATCTAGAAATTAAATATGCAACCTTTTTACATTTTACTGGATGTCCATATATTGTACTCTAAATATAAAGTACTTATACTGTACTTTAAAAGAAACCCTGTTCGTGAACCCCAACTTACTGCAATGTATTCTTAAATACGAAGAGAGAGCAAAAGTCAGCTGGACTCCATGCACTGATCCTACCCTATCTCCAAGGTTCTGCAACTTGCATTTTAGCTTCGCATCAGCCCCTGCAAGTTAAGTTAGCCTAAGAAACAGGCCACTGAGTAGTGGCACAAGTATTTGATCCTGAGGTTTCCGTGACCAGTCAGGATGGGGCAGCAACACCCTGGCACAATCTCTGTCTCTTCCTTGCTGCAACTATACTAGAAGCAGCATGACATTAAGAATGCAATCCTATGCACATTTAGACAGAAAAAAGGCTAACAACGCCAGATAAAATGTATGTCTAGTACTTACGTGTACAAATGATATGAGGTCTGCTGAACTGTCATGGAACTTGCTGGCACTTGGAGAAATGGAGGCTGAAAGGCATGCCTTTAAACGAGAGTATATAGTGGCATGTCCCTGCCAGAAGGAGCCTTCTCTAACGAGGTGCTTGAGTTCTCAGAAACAACCTATCAGTGGTTGTGGCATGTGAACTGAACCAGTAGGGCAGGAAGGAACCAATAGGTTGGCTAGGATGGGGCTGAGCATATCTGCTCCCTCCATGTGTTTCCCCTGCCCATGTATAAGCACTTCTTAGCTCAGAGGTTTGTGTGTATCCAATGCATGCAGCAAAGTGAGGTTATGATCTCTACCATCACCACACCTTGCTTTTTATATTTTCTCCAGAAGCCTTTTCTGGGCCATCTAGACTTAGTGCCAGGGAGGAGAGGGAAGGAGGCCGGGGTGCTGATGGGAATCAGCTGTAGAGGGGTAGTACAGAGCAAGGAGTTCCAGACCCCCAAAAATCAATACCCTCCCCAGGCAATATTCAGAGGCCATCAGATTGCACCATACGTTACCTGACCAGGACAGCTGCTCAGTTTAACAAGAAAATCTGTGGCTAGGTTCTTCTGTACTGCATCCAGTCTGGCCCTTGTTCATTGATTGAATGCATTTCTTTTCTGCCCATCCATTTGTCAAAACTCCCAGAGCAACTCACAACACTGTAAGACAATGCCAACACACAAATTCAAACTTTAGATGAAACGGATGCATCAGAATCAGGAAAAAGGGATGAGAGCAATAGAAACAACAACAAATCAGTAAAAACCATTTATTAAAGCCAGCTCAGATGACATGCTGGAAGAGCTGAGCCACTTAAAAAAGAACATCTTCACCTGGCACTGAAAGAATATAGAAACTGGCACCACCCGGGTCTTGTGGTTGGCAAATGAAAGGACACCAGGGCAGACATCAGCCGGAGCGCCAGGTCCATGGCAGTTGCCAGTGCAAGCCCTGCATGTGCGCATTCCCAACATTATTGTTGCTATCCTATTAATTGCAACAGCGCTTAAAAAGAAAAACATGCCGGTATATCATGTAGGCAGGTTGACACTGAAAGAGGACAATATGGTTCATCTAGCTTGATGCTGTCTACATCGGGGGGTCAGGGGACCTCTGGGGGTCCAGAAACCAGTTCCCCACAAAGACACCACCAATGAAATTATCACTGGCATATTGCCAAAGCCCAATTTTGTTTTAAAGGGAAGAGCTGACATTTTGCCCTCCCCATACCACCAAATGTTGGCAGCATTGATGGGGGACTTGGGCCCGGGTGACCATGTGCTGTGCATCCTTGATCTATGCAAGTCTGCAGTGTTTCAGAGGGGAGTCTTTCCATACCATACCAGGAGATGCTGGGAACTAAATCTGGGATATTCTGCATGCAGAGCACATGCCAAGCCTCAGAATGATGGCCTTCTCCCTGTATTTTCATAAGTACTTAAATTTTGCTACACATCCCAGGTTCTTTGTGAACACCGGGAAAGTTTCAACTCTGCTTCATTTTGTGCAAAATGAATTGACATAATGAGAATATCAAAGAGTCACACACAGGAAGGCTCCAGCAGAATATTAGAAACCCCTGGAGAGAGGAACAGAAGTCCAAGGAAAAGAAAATGAACACATTTCTGAACATTGTCAAGCCAAATTGTCATATGGAGACATGGTGCATCAGGGAGTTTGCAGTGAAGCAACACAGAAGTATAAGAATACGTTCAGTCGATTACAGAACAATCCTAGAGGCTGGATTTAAATTTTTTAAAATTCATTTTAGTTCAACATTTTAAAGAAGGGCAAGAGAACATGGGAATGCACAGCAAGCCATGTACTAGTAATTGACTTTTGCAAGTGAACTTTACAGCCAACCAAGTTCCTTTCTGATTCCTTCAGGAAATATCTGGTTGCAGGTAGGGTAAGCATCTGGTATGATTTCCGTGTCTGAAATCCACCTTAATGTCCACCCCAAAGGACTTTTAAAACCCATACAACCCATTCAACTGCTGTCCTCATCAACTGTGTGGGGATGTTCTGATTTTTCAGTTTCTTCCCATCAGGTAGCTATTCTTACCACAAAGGTTGGTGATTGTAATAGTTACAGCCAAAGTACAGATGTGCATTGGATTGGTTCAAAGCCCAAGCTGAAATGGGTACCTTTGGACATGGATACCTGGGTATCAGAACCAGAAATGGGTACCTGGGTATCAGAACCAGAGCTGGATGGAAGCCAAATGGCTTTGGTCACAATTTTGCTGCAGAAAAGCAGCCGGTATGTCTTTAAAATTGTGTCATTTGTTTTATTTCTCTAAACACTGATGGAGAGGAGGGGACTGGAGTTGACTGACCCACAAGTCCACCATCATAGGGCACATGTTACCAATCCTGGGGGGATGAGACAGTAAAATAAGTATGATTCCAACTCTACCAGGATTCACTATTTTAAAAACCCTTGCCAGTTTTCCAGTCATCATGATTCTGTAACCCTACTGAAATTTTGCTGATTTCACTACAGAAATACTTCTATGATGTGTGCCCTTTTCATGCAATTTACCCCAAAATGGGGGCAGCAGGGAGGAAGAAAAGCTAAGTGAATCACTCATTTCTAATTTGAGCACTCTCCCCTGCTATATAAACTGCTGCTTCTGAAGCACTGTAGTGTTATTATGTAGGGCCACTTCAGTGTCTTCAGTCATTTCCAAAAGAATGCTCTTCTAGGGATATAAGCAGGATGCCATGCTCTTCCCCCAGACTTGCAAAAACAGGATAATGCAAATTAAGTAAACCTAAGTGGCTTATTTTCCCTCTGTGACCACGTTGGTGCCTGGGCTTGCACAACATGAGCGTGGATAATAAGCCACAATGGATTGCTCACCACCACCCCTCTGTTGTAGGGTTGCTGCATGGTTTGTTCTTCCCTCCAGCCGACCACATTCATTGGGTCCACATGTCATGACAACCTGGCAAAATCCATTAAGGAAGTGGCCAATGCAGTACCAGCATGCACAGGGGTGCTTAACAGGCTGTGGAAAGTGGGCCATAGAGGGACTTCCACCTGCACTCTTGCTCCAGTGGACAGCTCAACAGAGTCTTTCATAATGTTTGTATTCCGGCACAAGGCTTCCATGTCTGAGGGTAACTGTTTCCCTTGCATATAGAGCAAGCAATTACTGACAAGCCGCCTCCTGTGGGTACAGTTTCCTGAAGAAACCATTGGCTGCAGCCGTCTGCACCAGTGCGGATGACCCCCTTGCTAGGGCAACGTTGCAGAGTTGATAGAATGGAACAGACTGCCCCCGTACTAAACGTACACATCCGACTCCCCAAACATAGTCATTAATACACAGCCTCGAGGAGCATAAATATATTAAATGCAGTTGAAATAGGCTGAAAGTCAGTTGTGTAAGACCTGAGCCATAGGCGCTTCTGCTCTGTGTCAGGGATGAGGCTGCTTGCATGCACTTCTCCCCCTGTCTGAGGAAAGCTAGCTTTCTAAGCTGCAAAAGATAACCGCCCTTTGTTTAGGGGGATACTTCAGCTCAGGGGTTTCCAAGCCAATCATACATGTTTTTAGTCAGAAGTCCCATTTTGTTCAATGAGTAGAGCATCCACCAGCACCATCTCCAGGATCTGGAGGGCCCTGGGGCAAGACACCCTCCATGGATCCCCTTCCCTCGGTAAGGTGACCTTCTCATCACCAGCCGCTTGAGCTCCTGCATCTATCTTGCCATTGCTTGCTTGACAGGCAGTTAGAAGCATCCCTTGCTCCTCCCTCCTTCATTGTCTGGGCCAGACCACTTCAGGGGGCTCCTGCCAGTGTGTCCCTGCTGGTGGAGTCCCTCAGCAGCTGCCCAACCAAGTCTACCCTTAACCCCAGCCCTAATACCAACCTTGGCTTGGATAACGCATTGCTCTTCCTCAATCAGCTGAGAATGGAATTAAAAGAGCATAAACCACAAGGCACTTAATATATTTTCCTTTCAGCTTTTTTGTTTGATTTTAATGGCTGATCCTGTTGTTTTTAAAAGCGGGTTTCTAACTGCTGCAGTGTTTTCATGGAATATTATTATTTTTTAATTGATGTAAGCTACCTTGAGTTGTTTTGATAGTGAACTAATAGGATATACATTTTTCAAATACATAAGTAAGTATAGATATTTGGAACCACAGATGTTCAGAAAAAACCTCTAGCAGGAATTTTACAAAATGTGATGACAACAGCCATAGGAGCTCCTTAGCTACAATCCTGTATACATTTACACAGCCATAAGTCCCACTTAACTCTATGGGGTTACTTCTGATTAGACATGCATAGGATTACAGGGCTAATCTTATGTGATCTGATCCCCATGTCCTCCCTAATTGTTCCCCTGGCACATCAGGTTAATTTATTTAATTCAGGAAATTTCTATGCTGCTTTTCATTAAAGAAAAAAAAATCCCAAAGTGGCACATCATAAATCATGATTCCCTGTCGAATGGTGCTGCATGAGAGTATCTCTGCTTACTCACTGATGGGCAGCAGGGGTGATGCAAGGTGCTGAAAATATCCCGGGCTTAGGCACAGACTGCCCGCAAAAGATGTATATTGTCAGTTCCCAGGTTATGAACGAGTTCAGTTCCAGAGAAAACAGCAATTCGTCTTTAAGGCGGATACGTATGCAAGTTGGATCATGTATAGCCGGCCCTCCATATTTGGGGGGTGGGGAGGGGTCAGGGAACAGAATCCTGGTGAAAGTGGCAAAACCACAAACATCTCTAGACCCCGCACCAATCCTTCCAGCCAAGCTCACCAGCACCTCCTCTTTGCAGTACGGAAGTGCAGGAGAAATTTCCCTCTTTGCATGGGCAGGGCAGGAAAGCATGCTTTGGAAGCCTCCATCTCATTCCCTTCACTCCCCCCCCCCACCCCCGTAGTAATGACAATTTTCTGCAGTCGTTTTTAAAATGGGAGGGTCATAACTTTGACATTCGCAACTTGGAGACTGCCTGTATGCTAATTTATATATGCTTTTAAATCTCTCTCTGTGCGTGCGTACACACATGCGTGCCTTTAAACTATTCTGTCAAAGTCCTGTTTCAAAAAAATGGACATATGGATAGTGGAGAGAAAACCTCAAGCAGAAAGATTCAAGGTGGGGGACAGCAGGAGGTGCAGCAAGGGGAGGGGGTAACAAGTCAGCCAATCCAGGGGGCTCCGGTGCATCAAAGATCATGGACAGCAGGATGGCGGGATAGATGGTCTCCCAGAGAGTCGGGGTTCCCTATGAAAGAACTGGGGCTCCAGCCCTAATGAGCATTCTCCTAACAGCACCTCTGGGGGTCAAGACCAAAGACAAAGGGAGTAAGACCTAGTCCCCTAGAAGTGGGCATATGTTAGCTGAAAGCTCTTCTAGCCAAAAACTAAGACTGAGAAAGGTATTTGCAAGCTTTTTGAATGAGGGAGTGGGGAGGGATTTGCAAAATCTGGGAAAGCAACAGATGACCAGGGGTCAGCAGCAGGAGAAGCAAGCAGAACCTTCTGGGAAATCCCAGGAGGTCTGGATTTGACGCTCAGGTCTGCAGTTCTCCACCCTGCTGTATACAAACTGTTTTCCCACCCTCTACCCTACCCATTTTTAAAAGCACAAATGTTTCTTCAAACCATTTGGTTCTCGTCATTGCCGTTTGTAAATGCTTGCAGGAAGTTTCATCTGGGGAAAGCAGCTCAGTACCCTCTTGCACAGTAGCTTCTTCTCCCCCTTCTGCCCCCAATTTTAAGGCCCTGGCACCCCTGAGCGATTTCAAATTACTTCAGCATTAAAACAAAGCAAAACAAAACAGACAGTGTTTGAAAGAATCAGGTACTTTCATTACTGTAAAAATAAAATACCTATTCTGTCTCTGCAGCCCCTTAATTTTCTTCCAGCTCAAAGAGAAAAAAAAAAGCTCCTCCATTAAAGCCAGAACCCTTAAACATTCTGAGTCAAGACAGGATTCATGCTAAGAAAATTTCACTCCTAATAAAATCACAGCTATAAATGGATTTGCGCAAAACGAAGGGTTGGTAGAATATATGTAAAATAGCTTTATCGGGTAATGAGCACCTTTGGTGGCTTGGTCACATGATGGGTGTTGGAAGAAAAAGCACAGCGTGATTTTTCTGCTAAAATGATTCTAATAAATCATTCTGTTCTTTTGCTGCCACTTCATGCCCAGCTATCCTACTGCTGAAACTTTTTTTTAAAGAAGTTTTCTGCTGGGATAATATAGAATGTAAAAACAACATAAACCAGCTGAGCAGAGCAGAGGGCGCTGGCCTAGGGACTCTGCAACCAAGCTCCCGAGGAGGGAGCAACCGGGCGGGGTGGGGGCAGACAGGAGTTTGATGGTGGAGCTGGAGTAGAAGGGGAGCAAAGGCAGAGGTGAAGGGGTGAGTGGCCTGCGCTAGCCCAGCAAGTCTCTTCCAAGAGGCCGTGTGCTAAAGGGAGCTGCAACTGAAAGGGGATGCCCCAAGTACTACCAGCCCTGCATGGACGGGAAGATTCATTCTGGTTCCCGACTCCTAGCTGAGTGATTGTCTGCCTTTAAAGGAGGGATGCCAAACCTTTCAGCCAGAGTCCTTTTGGAGATGCTCTTGGCGGCTGCATTCCAGTGGAGGCTGAGACCCAAGGAGTAAGGCAAGACTGGCATATTTTAGCTTAATGCTTTTACTAACCACCACCAAGCCATAAGAGGTGCACAAGATTTGGATGGGGGTGAAGGTTGTATGAAAACCAGGGAGTCGCTAAAGTGGGGTGCGGGGTGGGGGGGAGCCAGACTGTGGCTTCCAGTGCTTGGCTATCTGGAAAGCCACAGAGGGCCAGAAGGGGAAGGCCAGGTGGGCAGGATTTGGTCAGTGGACAGAATGCTGGGCTTCAAAACCCTAAAACCTACTTGAGATCAGACTGCCTTATGGGTCACCTTCCAATGAGTGAGTTTGTCTGTTCTTTAAGATCCTCAAGAGTAGTGGTTTTTCAGATCTGGGTCATACTTGAACTGGCTGGGACATTGGAAAGGGAGGAAGATTGTGTAAGCCTCCAGGTGCAAGTGGGCTTCTTCTTCCATCATTTCTTGCCATTGGCGATGCTGGCTGGGGCAGATGGGAGTTGTAGCCCAGCAACATCAGAAGGCCACATGTCCCTGAGAGACCTTCTCAGTTGCCACACTGGGGCTTTCAGGCTCCCGTTCTGGTAAAGGACTGACTTGCTTTCTCGCTCTTAGTCTTGACTTACCAAGAGAATCAATCATGACAAATAAATTGCCAGCATGTAATTCCCTGGTTTTTCACTTCTTGTGCCCGCTGCCTTTTTTTTTTTTTTTTGGTGTGAGTTGTAGTTTGCATTTTACTGTATTATCAGAGTTTTGTGAGACACTTCAACTGCAAAGACAGTTTAGTTTACAAAGAGAAATATACTCCATTTCCTGTACATGCACAGTAATACTAAAAATTTCTGACTTTGGGGGATGTGACCAGAATAACATTGTAATGGCCAGGCAACTCCCACGAGGTAGGGTGAGGCACCTGTGCCAGGTGATGGAGCAGGAGTGCCGAACAGCATCCCTTCGCACACAAACACCAGGGAGCTGTGAGGAGGGACAAGAGTTCATTGCTAGAGCCCTGCTTTGCATGCACAAGGAACTAGCGCCAACCTCTGGCATTTCCAGTTAAGAGGATCAGGCAAAAAGTGATGGGGAGTGACCCTGCCTTGGGTAGTGCAGAGCTGCTGCCAATCAAGAGAAGACAAGCTGCAAAAAAGAAAAGGTCTTGGAGGCTGTCTCCCATCTGCCACAGGCACAGAGGGTCGAACAGAAAGTGAACATTACAGCTTTAAGCCTACTCAGGAGTATGCAGACCGAGGCTTCGGCATGTCTACTTAGAGGGCTGAATTGCTCAACCGCATTTGCAAACAGCACCCGAAACACCAAGCCTCTGCCTCTCCATTCACAATTAAGCAGCTCTCCTCCTTGCAAAAGGCAGTCTTTGCTGGTTATCTAAAAGTTAACTGCCTTTAGAGACCCTCCTATCTACACCCAGGATCTGAAACGACAGAAGTTTGTGGGCAGCTAGGGTACCCCCAGGGACCACATCCTGCCTCCAAGTCAGAGGTTCCTCATCCCCAAGCTAGACTAACAAAAAGTCTAGCTAGTAAATGTCCTTTTCTTATGTTCCATTGCCCCCAGTTTGAATGTGTGCTGCTTTTACATATTGTTCTAATCTAAACAGCCCCTCAGTAAATGACACTGGAAGTGTAATATGGGCTAAAAAAAACTTACGTGTAGACCTGTTTTTTGAATTGCCATTTAACAGATTGAAATTATTTAAGAAACCTATTAAAATCATTGCGTAAGCTTGTGTTCTTACTTCCCACGAATTCCTACAAGCTGTTTTGCCAGGACAAACTCATCTGGTAATGTCTTAAAATTATCATAAATTATTCACTGTTCAGCATCGCAGGGAAGAAAAGACCTTTTTCATTGTACTGTGGTTAGTCTATGATAGAAAACTTTATGTAATATAGGTCATGTTTCACAACTGAACCCTTTGGGGTGCAAAACAAAATGAAGGCTTTTTATGTAAGGTTTGTCTTCTTTATTCCAAAAATAAATATGTTGTTTAGTCAAAGGTTTTCAAATGCTATTATAGAATCACAAAGGGTAAGGGAAATTCCACTTCTTTGGAAATTGTGAAGCCAATGTACAAGAACTCATGGAAATTACACTAGTGATGTTTGCTGATGACCTGGCAGGCTAAAAGCCAATTTATACACATTTCAGAAGCAACAGAATTCACTTTTATGACACAGGGATCTGAAAAGGAGAATCACCCACTGTTGGAAGTCTAAAAGGCACATAAACTTGACATTGAATGTTTTTCTGTGTGGGTTATTTTTTTGTTTTTTTGCCACGGTGGCGAATACGTTCTTATATAACATTCCGAGAGAGCAACTGCGGCACTTGAATCAAGTCAAAGAAAGAAGATTCCTTTGTAAAACAATGATTAATCATTGGGAGAGCAGAAAAAGACTTCCCCCCCCTTGGGGACCTCTTTTGTTTTTGGTGCTTGGCAGAACAGTATGACTGCCCGTAGTTACAGAGTTCAAAATCCACCTCATTCAGTTGTGTTTGGGCGGGTTGCCACATAAACAAACACCACAATCAGGAGCACAACCACGGCCAGTGTCGGGAGCACCACCGTCGTGACCTGCTGCCGGGCTTCCTGCATGGCTTGCTTTCTCTCTTTTTTATCTTTGGACGTCTCTTTTTTGGGCTTCCCTTTAAGCTGCCTCATTCTCCTTCTTAGTCAGGCCTTTTGTCTCCCTCCAAAACAGCAAACTGAAAATTAAGCTCCGCACGATACAAGCGAACTGGGTCTCTTGACGCCCAAGCTTTCCCCTTCTGCTTTTGATGTGCTCGATTCCTGGGTGAAAACCTGCAAAAGAGAAAATCAGAGGCATGATTGTCCAAAATGTACCGGGGGAGCCGCGCAGCACACGTTACAAAGCTCTGCAGCTCTCCCTCTGCTGAGCTTCAGGTAACAAGCCACAGTGGAACTTGTTAGTGCATTAAAGCATACAGGGAAAACTGCTGCTTCTCACTCCATGCAGAATTGGGTCCACCAAGGGAAGGAAAGGGGGTCTTCTACCTGAGAGGCTGGGTGCAGTCAGCTGCTGCTGCGCTCTTTTCTTTAGATGATAAAAGCCACCATTTCAGGGACTGTTCCTGGTCATGTTTTGGGACATTCAGGACGCATCATCTATCCAAGGAAGTCCAGTGGTATTTTGGGGGGAGGGGGTGTCCCTGTCATCAGCCATTTTTTTAAAGTTAAACTGTCTCTCTGTTGCATGTAGTAGTCCTGTCAGTATATCAAGTCAACTATACCCAAGGTTCCAGGAGACCAAACTTTGCAGAAAGGGGCTCTTTCTTCCTTTTTTGCAGCATGATCCCCGAGTCTGCTGGCCTAGTGCCCCCTAGCTGTGGTAGTGCCCCCCCCCCCGCTGCGGCAGCTGGGGGGGCTTCAAACCTTCAGGTGGAATCTCTTTCAAGTCCAATCCCCTTCCTGACATTGGGGGTTCCCTCAGGTTTGCCATTTCCCAAGTTGCTATCCATTCAGGGTAAAAAGTAAAATGGAGGGGACATTTGGCATTTCATAGCATGTCCCCCAATCTCAGATATGTAGATGATACCACTCTAATGGCAGAAAGTGAAGAGGAACTAAAGAGCCTCTTGATGCGGGTGAAGAGAGTGCAAAAGTTGGCTTGAAACTCAACATTAAGAAAACTAAGATCATGGCATCCAGTCCTATCACTTCCTGACAAAGGAAGAAATGGAGGTAGTGACAGATTTTATTTTCCTGGGTTCCAAAATCACCGCAGATGGGGACTGCAGCCAAGAAATTAAAAGACACTTGCTCCTGGGGAGGAAAGCTATGGAAAATCTAGACAGCATACTAAAAAGCAGAGGCATCACCCTGCCAACAAAAGTGCATATAGTCAAGGCTACGGTTTTCCCAGTTGCAATGTATGGCTGTGAAAGCTGGACCATAAGGAAGGCTGAGCACCGAAGGATTGAGGCCTTTGAATTGTGTTGCTGGAGGAGACTCCTGCGAGTCCCTTGGACCGCAAGGTGATCAAACTGGTCAGTCCGAGAGGAGATCAACCCTGACTGCTCTTTAGAAGGCCAGATCCTGAAGATGAAACTCAAATACTTTGGCCACCTAATGAGAAAGAAGGACTCCCTGGAGAAGAGCCTAATGCTGGGAGCAATAGATGCCAAAAGAAGAAGTGGACGGCAGAGGATGAGGTGGCTGGATGGAGTCACTGAGGCAGCTGGTGTGAGCTTAGGTGGTCCCCAGGGGATGGTGGAGGACAGGAAGGCCTGGAGGAATGTTGTCCATGGGGTCGCGATGGGTTGGACACGACTTCGTGACTAACAACAATCATGTCCCCTAAAAGGCCGGCAGGTGGGGGGGTCCTGCTTGGAAGGCAGGGACTGGGGGAGTATTCCCGCAACGAGCCTTATTTTACAGGTCCTTGGCTTCTTTTGAGGGAGACCAATTGTACCTCTGTGTTCGCCAAGCTTCCCACTTGAGCACCCCCTACAAAAGCCTGGAGACTCTCTCACCAAGTTTGCCTTGTACTCATAAACCAATTTCATTTTAAAAAAGAAATTCTGGGAAAAATAGCAGTAGGGTGTTGTTGTGTGCCATCCAGTTGTCTTTGGCTTATGGGGACCCTATGAATGAAAGCCCTTCAAGATCTCCTACCCAGGATGACCCTGCTCAACTCTCCCAAATTGAAGGCTGTGGCTTCCCTAATGGGGTCGATCCATCTCATATTGGTCTTCCTTTTCTTCTTTTGCATACAATTTTCCCTAGCATGATCTGCCGGGATTTTTGCAGCAAGCTACAAAATTGTAGTCTAGCAGACACTTCCCTGTATGAACACAGCTTTTTTTTTTCCAGAAAGTGATATGATTTTACGCCAACAAGCATCCCCAACTCTCAACAGCCCCAGCCAGCAGGGCTAGCTGGAGATGCTGGAAACTATAATCCAACACACACAGCCCAGCCAGAGGTGCCAAGATGGGGAAGGCTGCTGCTGTCAGCCAAACCAAGCGTATTTTATTGAGATAAGCATAATCTGAGATTCAGGACAGATACTTTTCCTGCACAGTGCAGAGCTGAACCAGGGAATTTGCTGCAGCAAGGTGTAGCGACGGTCACCCATCCGAATGAATTTGGAACAGGATGAGACAAATTCATGGAGGAGAAGGCCATGCATGGCTACCAGCTCTGATGACCATGTGCTACCACCAGTACTGGAGGCCGCATGGCTATGTATGCCATGGGCTAGGGAGCTGGCTGTCACCTCATGGCCTGCTTGTGAGGAGCAGCTGGATGCCACTGTGTGAACAGAATGCTGGACTAGATGGACCCCTGAACTGCTCCCGGAGGGCTCTCATGTTCTCACCCCGGTAAAGCAGCACACAGACACACCCATACTGATGAGACCGATGCTCAGATCATGACCAGGTGCATGGCAGGGCAAGCACATACTTGGAGCACTTGCGTCAAAGAGGGCATTGCCACGGTCTCACAAACAACAAAAACTCCCCCTGCTGAAAAGTCTCCTCCCGCGGGAGACCTGTTGGCATTCACACACATGTTGCCCTCTAAGAATGATTCCATCCGAAGTACCATGCAGCTCCTGGGGAAACCAGCACTGGAAAACCATAATAATCATACCCTCCTTCAGGAAAAAAAATACAGCAGCTCATTATACCCTCAGAGATACTACTCCACAGCCACCAAACTTGTCCGGAGTTTAATTCAGCTACAGGGCAACGCTCAGCATTTCAAGCAGGCAGGCAAACACACAACTCTGCCAAGCCCTTGATGGGAATAATGAGTGAGCCTCACGTGTGCTATTGATACTGAGCCCCCGGCTGACACCTTTACAAGAGAGTCCCTGCCAGAGGTCATGTGGCCTCCTGTTGATATGCAGGGCAGGCACTGTGAGGGGAAAGCATCCATTCTGTCATGGTGCCCAAACCCAATGTGCATGTGTTAGCAGGACAAGATGTCCGTGCAATCAAAGGGCTTCCTCTTGACCAAGCCACTCAAAAGTCCGGCTAATGTTTGCCTGGCAAAGGATGGCTGGATTAAAACTTACTGGAAAAGAGTGGTTACACTAGGAGTTTTAGTACATCAGGTACAGGAATGAGAATTAGCATTTCCAGTGAACGACTCTTATTGTGGTTCCACGAAGCTTTCGGGGTGGTGGGTGTTGGAAATAAACACACAGCACACCATTCATGGCAGGAAAGATAATCCCAACGGCTGTTAACACAGACAGATTTTTGTTTTTTAATTAATAATATTGAACAGTAACCAATTTAAGTACCCTACAGGTGAGTCAATTTCTTTCTGAGTGATCAGAAAGACTGTATCTGATAAAGTCACCCCACATCATCCTCAAAGCTCACACCACAGACAGGTTTTAGGAGGTTGCCATGTACTGTTCTGAGTCTTAGCAAATTCAATAAATAGATGGCATATGCAATTTAAAAATGTCAATTTTCTACTTTGCCTCTGTATCTGAAGATGTTTAATGAGATTCTTCACTAATGCAAGGTCCCCATTTTTCTGTTTCCATGCGTTAAGAGAAAGCTTGCTGATTTCCAGTTAGTGGATATGATAAACCTGGCTACTGTTCAGAAAAGAAGTCCAGCATTCTTAATGTCTTGTTTACCAGAGTCCATATCAAGAGATAGTTGTCCTAGTTGCACAGATGGAAGCCTCTGCAAGTTTGTTTGCAGGTACACAAAACCAAGAATAGGTACTCCTTTGCCAAGATTTCTTACTTAAGCTCTGGTCTGTTAATTACATGTTTGCAGACTGGTTGCTGTATGTGGCATAATTTGCAGATACACATGATCAAGCAATCCAGAGATTGGACGTGTTTCTCTGCAGAACCGTCATCTAGACTCCAATGCAAAGTCCCTAACAGACCACTTCTATGCCTTCATATAAAAGTTCATCCCTTGGTGCTCAGTGAAGCTTACTCTCAGACAACTTAGCAAAGATCTCAGCCATTGTTTATTCTTTAAAAAATCAGGTTTCTAGTCCTTGGGAGTGTGGCAATGTGTTTGCAATTGTCCTAAGGGTTGTGGCCCCAACTGCAGCACATGCTCTGTGGATTGCTAGTCCTGAGGCCCTAGCAAAAGCCCAAACTTGCCACCCCTAGAGGCAGCCATGTCCAAGAGTTCAATTTTATATGCCAGCTAATTTATAAGTGCCGTATTTCTGTTGTCAAAGCAATAAAATACAATTTGGCTTGATAAGAAAGGAAGCATTGCATATATTTCATTTCCCCAAACTTTTCCATGAATGCTACTCTCTACTCCCAACCAAGTAGCAGTCCTAGAAAGTTTCGTGCTCCTGCTGCACATCCAACATGAAATACTATGCAAAAACCATAAAGATGAATTTGCAGTTCTTGGGTGTAGAATTTGGAATGCTCAAAGTGCAAAACATACAGGTACTTTGCGCTTTCTGGTCTGAAACACTCCATTTTCCCCGACCACCATACATTTAGGGATTTCCTAGATTTTGTGCCATTTTTCTTCCCATTCAGAAAAGCTGCAGTTCCGCTCCTAAGTTACAGGCAATATGAACTTCAAGCTACAATGACTTGGTGGGTTTGCTTCATTTTGATTTTGCATTTTGGCTCCTGGGTTTTGCCTTTTGCTCCCACCCGCCACTAGAATGTAGTCTGCATTTTCTCCATCTGGTCTCACAATGAAGATGAGGTTTGTCATCAGTTCCTCAAGACATAGTGGTTGGAGGACGAGCTCTACCTTGGAGTCCCATCTTTTTCTTTATGCTGCCTATCTTTTTGCACTCCACATCACTCTCAATTCCACATCACT